AAATTGAGGACGATATATAGGAAAAGATTTATACCAAACGACTGGGACGTAGTTGCTCGAGCTTTGAATTTGGTCGGAGTAAGCGGTGGAATCCGCAGACAGTGATAGTTGTGAGGTGAACATCACGTCTTAACAGCTCGACGAACGCCGACAATCGAACAACCGCACTCACACGGCCGGCAAATGTTCCAAGAGTACGAAAGCTAAGCGATGAGTATACGGTAGATGGAAAGTTTTGTAGACCATCGGTCTGAAGCTCTAACCGATGAGTCTTCAGAATGGTTAGTAGGGTAGGGTTTTGTCGAAATTGGAGAGCATATAGGATGAGTTTGGGCTGTTGGGTAGGCTAGGTAATTAGGCATTTAATGATACGTATTGAATTGGATTGTTGGGTCAATTCTTGAAGGATTTGGTTTCAATTCAACCTGTCTATTTGATAATGCCAAGCCCAAATAATCCCAATTAAGTTGTCAACATTTTTAGTTTAATAATAATAGAGATATTAATCGAAATAGGACTAAAAGAGTTTGAAAATTCTAAAATAGGATTGTCATGTTTTTTATTCCTAAAATAGGACTAACTACTGTTATGTTTTGGCAGTATCAGACTTCAAATATGACAGTATTTTCCAAATTTGGTAGTAATTACTTCTATTTTGGGAATAAAAACATGAGAGTCCTATTTTGGAATTTTCAAACCTTTTTAGTCCTATTTCGGGAAAATTCCCATAATAATAAGGTGTGAAACTTTGGTAACGTTTTTTAGTCCTTATCGTTCACTCCTTTTATTGATGATTTTACTTTAAAAAAAATCCTTTCATCGATTATTTATTATATCTTACTTATCTACTTATAACAACGAAGCAAATATTTTGTAATTTTGGTTAAGTGGATTTTTGTGGGGTATGGATTTAATGTAATTTTAAAATGTGTAACATTTTTTTTATATGTTTACGTTTTATTTCTAGAGAAAAAAATATTTGTATTTCACATTGAAATAAATGAGTTTGTGTTTTGTTCTTTTATGGTACAGAAAATGTTCATTACAGAGTCCATAATCAGTGTTCATCTCGACTATTTGAAATTGCTTTCGGTTCTTCAAAATGCACAACACCGACTCCAAATGAACACTTATTATATTCCGTATTACTTACCACTTTGTAGTTTCAAAAGTTATACGGAGTATCTCTTTTATAATATGTATATTTTTCATTCTTTGACGATGCTTTAATCTCTCTTTAACTATAAGCACTTATTATAGTACTTGCCACTTCATTCTAAATTCAATTATTTACGCATTTTTATAATAAAGTTCTTAATCACGTGTGGGTAAAATATCATCCGTGCATCGCACGGGTGAGAATCTAGTTATAAACAATACACATGATAATTTATGAACTACTCCACACTAATCAACTAACCAACGAATATTAGTTTTAAACTAATGAAAGAGTAATATTTGAATATGATTACCTAATGAAATGCACGCCCACTAATTCAGACTTGGTATGATTTTGCAATTTTAATACGAAGTATATTGTTGGGAGTTCAATTTCATGGATATTCTGCAACAACTTATCTGAGACAGCGAAGAGCAAAAACGAAAGCAGGCAAAGACTCTGAAGTGAAGATAGCGAGGGCAGGCGAAGAGCGAAGGCAGAGAGAATCTAGATTCGAGATTCCCTTTCTTCTTTGATTCATCGTTGTCGCTTCGATTCCAAATCAGCAATTCGTTGCCACGAAGCTGGTGGCAAATACTCCGTAAATCAAAGATGTAGGAACATTAACGGAAGAGAAACAGCGTTTCTAAGGAGATAAAAGACTTGAAAAAGGCACAAATAATTAAGCATATAGTGCAACTGAAGTAAGCTACCCTATACCACCAACAAATTTTTTATACCTAAAATAGGCTCACCCTCATTCATCCTTATTAGTTTGTAGAGATTTGGAACTTGAGAACAAGAGTTAGACTTTCATATAATACAACACATTAACTCTCTTTGGTTTGAAAAAACGCATCAAACTCCTTTAATTTGTGTTATACCTATTTATGCATCGAACTCCATATTTTCTAAAGAAAAGATAAAAACTTCAAATAACATGTCATCAACCGATCAGACCGAGATAATTTGCCTATGAAGCACGGATACTTCACTAGGGTGCCGTGTCGACGTATCAGAAACGTTCTCATATCCGATACTCTAGGATACCCGTACGGTACGTTCCCGGGTTGTATCTGCAATTTTTAAAAGTTTCCAATTTTTTTGGGTAATTATTTTAAAATTTCGGATACTCGTATCCTGAAGGATACCCATATCAACTTTTTAAAAAAAAAACTTCCAAAAAAATCTTTTTTAAAAAAACACTCAAAATTTACATAATAAAATTCTTAAAAAATGAAAATCTAAAAATAATTTTTACCTTGCTTTTATGTGGTACACAAGTAATGGGCCTATTCCTGATTCACTTATCCTCCAATCCCTAATTCTAATTATACCTAGTAATTATAATATGTATTATAACTTTTAAAATATTGTTTTCTATCTTCATTATTTCTAGAACTTTGAGTACTTGCACTTTTAATTTCAGAATTGTAGTTGTTTGACTTATGTGTCATTTTAAATTAATAACTTATTGACTATATTTATATTTTGAAGTACACAAGTGTATATGAGATAAAATATGAACTTATTTCTAAGTATCTTGAAAATGTAAAATTCTTCAATACCATGAATGAGTAGACGTAGGATAATAATTTTTTTCAAAAAAATCGTATTTTTTATATTTATAAATACACCCACCCATGTAACTTTTAATATTTATAAATATACCCCATAACTTTTAATATTTATAAATATGACTCCGTATCCGTATTCTACTTTTTTTGGTTTTGTCGTATCCCGTACCTGTTTCCGCGTTTCCGCATAGCCGTATTGGTGCTAGATGGGTATTGCGCATAAGAAAAACTATCGCAATTCAATGTGGAGCAGCTATTATGCAACACGAACATGGCTTTATCATGTTCCGCAATATCAGCAACCTTGAACCTAAATTTACTCCACTAGATCGTAAGTTAAGTCAAACAATACGAAAAGTATTAAATCACTCCTCAAACTAACATCAATAATTCAAAACACACCTGGTAAAAAGTGAGTATCACAAGGGATAAGTCACGGGTTCAATCAGCGGCGGAACCAGGGGTGGGCGAGCCGGTGCCGGCGCCACCCCTTCGCCGGCGTCGTTAAGGTATTTACAGTTAATATTTTGGCCGGCGCCCGTGCAGCCTTCTACTTTCTCAGTCAACCGGCGCCTGGCGCCCCTATCTTTTGCTCGCTGATACGAAGCACGAAGCTACAGACTAAGGTTTAGAAAATCATTTAGCTGAACGACATCGTTTGATGAAGTTAAAAAGGGGAAAAAAAGAGAAACGACGGGAAGTTATTGAATAAATGACATTCCATTTTGTCAAAATTAAAAATTTAAAATAATTGAATAAACATTACGCCTCACAACCGTACTCCTTAGGTTATTTTGACCGTTCAATTCACTCACCAGCTCAGCCCAAAAATTGAAGAGGCCAGGAGGAGGAATTGAGGAAGGCTGATGATTAAAAACCAGCCACCGCCCGCCGGTGCCGTGTTGGACCTTTGGAAGCCGGAAAATGGAAGACCTGGGTGCTCGTTGCTGCGCCTTTTGGTGAAGAGTTGAAGACTAAAGTGATTTGTGAGAAGGTAATGTTAACTTTTTGATTTTTTGTTCTTTTAAATTGTAACGTGTGAATTGTAATGTGTTGTTGAAGATGGACAGTTTACTGGACCTCTGTATTCGTTTATTTCTTTTAGTGTGTATTTGTTAAGGGAATAATCATCTAATTAATTATATAGTTAATTTATTGAATAAATATAAACCATGGCTTATTATAATATGAATTTGTTGTATAGTTTGTTCGGTTAATTATGTTAAAATTTCTAATAACGGGTGAAGAGTCTTCAAAAACCTCTACCGAAAAAATAAAAGGTCAAAAACTCAAAATTATTTCCTCTTGAATTCAATTCTGACCGATAAGGAGGTTGCTGATTAAGGTTTACGTAAATCTATTTGTGATTTTGATTCTTTGAGTAGAGATCGTGTCCATTTTGAGAATTAAAGATGTTTTTTAATTAAATTAATATTTTTTTAATCTAATTTGGTCTGGTCTGATAGATGTATGGTCTAGTCTAGTCTGATCAGTTCGGATCCGGTCCGAAAAACAGTCCAAGTAAAAACATCCTAATTAATTATGGGTTTTTTTAGTAGTATTGATGCTTCATCAGAGCATGTTTCTCAGCACCGGCTCAAAAAAAGTTCTGGTTCCGCCACTGGGTTCAATTCCAAGCAATGACTTGGATTGGAGCCCCACTCACTTTCCATTAGAGTGAGATCAATTTACATCCTCTCAGTTAGCTGTCCGGTCGGTGCTGGGAGGCCCTCAGAGATGGGGTGTCATCTTTTTTTCAATAATTCAAAACACACCCCAAAATTAAAAAAAAACTTCCGATCAAACGCTCTAAATCGGCTATAAAGTGCAAATCACTCCTTCAATTAAAAAAATATGTAATCAAATTTTCCAACTTGACAATATAGCGCAAATGACTTTTCTAAGTTATAATTTACCGGTTAAAGCTGATGTATGTTATTTATCAATTTGTTTTTACTCCAGGGGGGTCCGAGGGAGGGGGGCTGGGGGGAGAATGGAGTAATCAGGGCTGAAACTCAGCTCATTGAGTTTAAAACCCCCACTAGGCACGGTAACCTCGCAACTAGCTAGACTGGAGTGCTTGGTTATTTATAAAAAAAGAAACAAAAATTAACTATATTGGTTCATGTGCATAGATTTATGATGCTTACGGTACAATAAAATCCCAATTGAGATTAGAAAAATTTAGATGCATTCGTAACGGATTCCGTCACCATAACATTGACCAAAAGAAATTAACAAATTAAGCAATCTGTAGTTGGTATAAAATGAGCACAAGTCTTTCACACTCCCATCCCATTCGACGATCTTTGACTTTATTTATCTCATCGGGAAAAAAAGTCAAGTTTTGATTATCAGCTAGAATCCATGGCCGCCGCGGAAGGAGGAGTGAAGGTCCCGAGAATGAAGCTGGGTTCACAGGGGCTGGAAGTGTCGGCCCAAGGCCTGGGCTGCATGGGCATGTCCGCCTTCTACGGCCCGCCCAAGCCGGACGCCGATATGATCCGCCTCATCCACCACGCCGTCAACTCCGGCGTCACCTTCCTCGACACCTCCGACATGTATGGCCCCCACACTAACGAGATCCTTCTCGGGAAGGTATGCCGTTACCAGCCTATATATACATATTGCGGTCAATGCAGAGTAAATTAATTTTAAAAAAATAATTTTATAAATGTCTATCTTTAGATGCATTCTAATAATTGCAAATATGCAATATTTGTATAGAAATTGTCCTAAATAGGACTAATAAGTTCCTAAAAAGCACAAATAGGACTACTATTTTTAAAATTCCCTAAATAGGACTAAACATTGATTTTCTACCCTAAATACCCCTAAAAGTATTAATTCATAATGAAATGCTTTAATTCATAATAAAATCATAAAAAACGTAAAAAATATTTAAAAAATGTAAAAAAATTATAAAAAATTTATAAACATTTATAAAATAAAAAATTTAATTTTTTATTTTTTAATTATTTTAAAAAAATAATAAAAAATAGTAAAAACCCATAAAAAATGAAAAAAATTATGGATACCTTTCTCACCGCCTCCCAGCACCACCACCTCCGATTGGTGAAATTTCTTCCACTTTTGGTAAAAAAAATGCCATATTTTTCTGAAAATGCCAAAAAGATGGCATAATTACTCTTCAATATGCCAACATTTTCATTGAATATGCCATCATTATGGCATTATTTAAAATGTTGGCATATTTTTCTCAGGTGATGGGAGATGGTGGTGCTGGGGGGTGGCAGGGGTGGTAATGTTTTTTTTTTAATTTTATGATTTTTTTTATTTTTTTTTATTTTTTTTTAAAAAATATTTTTTATTTTTTTTTAAAAATATTTTTTTTAATTTTCTATTATTGTTTTACGATTTTTAGTATTTTTTTCGATTTTTATTAATTTTTTTATGATTTTATTATTAATTAAAACATTTCACAAGTTACAAGGGTATATTTGTCCAAACAAATATAAATAGTCCTATTAAGGGAATTTAAAAAATGTAGTCCTATTTGTGCAATTTTGCCACTTTTTACTCCTATTTAGGGAATTGACTCATATTTGTATCATATGAAAGCCCATAGAAAAATAAAAATTGATAATGGCTTTTTTTGAAAAAAAAGTTGGATCATAAATGAAAAGATTATAAGTTGAAAAACAAAAACAAATTGACATGCCATATACTACCTCATCCCATTTTATGTGTCTTAGTTTTACTTGACACGATTATTAATGAAGTGGTTAGAAAAGAAAAAGTTGTGATTGAAATTTGAATATAATAAAGTGAAATGGTGTAGACCACATATTTCTTTCCAAAAAAGAAAGTAGACTTTCATTTTGTGACAACCCAAAAAGGAAAATAGGACAAGTAAAATGGGACGCCGAGAGTAGCAGTTATGGCAGCACAATAGGGGTGATGGTGAACATTGTAGGGTGGGTTTAGGAAAATAAAGAAAATTAATTAAAATAAATTAATTAAAATAAAATGACTAGAGAAAAACAAGAAAGGAGATGAAGCAGAAATAGTCAAAGCTCGTGCTGCGCACGATTTCCTTAAAACGTATTTGTTGCCTCCCACGGTGCTAGGAGCGTTGCAACAATAGTTTCCCAGGATACGATGACTACGAACTAATGTTTGAGCACACACACACACACCCTACGCGCGTGGAGAGAGCCTTTACCCTTAGGAATCCTAACTCCATAAGGGGGGAGTCCCTTTATAAAGGGTTGCAAATCCGTTGGGTTTTCCGGTGTGAGAAATTAACACTAGAAACACATCCTTTTTCCCAGTTTTTCCATTGTAACGGGTAAACTTCGAGAATCAATTTCTCATTCACCCGTTATCCGTTTTGAGCGTACCATATATCGAATTGTAGCCCTAAGTAAGGACAATCCGAAACCACTTTGACCCGACCCAAATCGGAAGTGGACCCCACTCAAAAAAATGCCCCAAAATAGTCATTTAATGCAATTTTTCACACATTTTTCCAACAAACATCACCCTCACAAGTGGGTGAAAAAATTTGCTCTCGTAGTATTTAGCCTTTAGCAATTGCGGGCTCCCATCAATGGGATCGGTAAAGTATGCATAGACAGGAATAAGGATGTTTTTACTTGGACTGTAATTTGCTGGTCTGGTGTGGTCTGGTCTAGTCTGATCTGGTCTGGTCTGGTCTGAACTGGTCTGGTCTGGTCAGGTAAGGTTTGGTTTCTTTGTATTTTTATAATTATCCAAGTCTGATCTGGTCTGATCTGGTCTGGTCTAGACTGGTCCGGTCTGGTCTAGGACAAATTACAGTCCAAGTATAAACATCCTAACTACTATACGTTTTATTCTCAAAATGGACCATGTTTTTAAAGGGGTTCAAATTTTCTGGTCAGATCTGGTGTGTTTAAATATGTTCTACTCTGATCAGATAAGAACATCTTTTATGCATATTTAGGGAAAAGTGTCAAATGGCCCCCTAATAATACGGAAAAGTCAATTAAGCCTCTGAACTCAAAAAACACCCAATTAAACCCACGAACTATAAAAAACGAGGCAAAACAGTCCTTTTAGCATGTAACTAACCGATTCCAGCCGTAAACCTTTACACGTGGCGACAGCCGACAGGTGGCCACAAATGGCAACACGTGGCGACACGTGGACTAATGGAACCGGGAACCGGTTAATTACATGCTAAAAGAGTTGTTTTGCCTCGTTTTTTATAGTTCAGGGGTTTAATTGGGTGTTTTTTGAGTTCGAGGACTTGATTGACTTTTTCGTATTAGTAGGGAGGTCTATTTGCCACTTTTCCCACATATTTACTATTGTCTAAGTTTGATTTGGTTTGATCTAGTATGTGTAAGTCCGGTATGATCAATTCTGAAATTTAAATCAATCTAATTAAAAACATTGATTCTATTGAGAGCGTACAGCTCTCATATTATGAGTGAATATGAGCCATATTTTAATTTTTGAAAAGAAGACAAGGGTGATCCTCCCGTTATTGCATTTTGTGATTTTGTCCATGTTTTACGTACTCCGGAATTTTCGATCTCATTTATGTTCTAAAGTGGAAATCTTGCGTGAAGGCATTGAAAAGTGGATTGAGAGAACAGGTTGAGTTGGCTACAAAATTTGGAATTATTTACACTACTGATGGAAAGATGGATACTTGTGGAGAGCCGGCCTATGTGCGGGCTGCATGTGAGGCCAGCTTGAAGCGGCTTGACGTCCATTGCATTGACCTCTACTATCAACATCGTATTGATACACGTTTGCCCATTGAAGTCACCGTTAGTCTCCCTTTTACCCCATACCTCCTACTTCGTACTCCCTCCGTCCCGCAAAGAAGTTCTCGCTTTTCTTTTTTAGCAGTCCCAAAAAAAAGTTCCTCTTTCTTTAAATGGCAAGTTATATACATCAAAACTGTGCAAACAATGTCAAACAGTGTCGAAACAGTGTCAAAACAGTTAAATTTACCTCGTGTTAAGTTTATTTCCCTAATATGTGTGTGGGTCAAACCGGGAACTTCTTTGCGGGACGGAGGGAGTATATGATCGATCCGTAAAAACGGTCAATCCATATATACCACGGTCGAAGTTTAATGACTTTTTCAAGTGACAAAGATAAATTGTGCAATGTTCCTAAATTTATCCCTTTTTATACAAATGGAAGTCAAATAGTCAAGTAGGTGATGTGTCTATGATAGTATAACAAGCTAGGTTTAATTTACGAACATACAATATTTATAATAATAACTAGTTTTATTGCGCGCGTTGCGCGATATCAAAATGCCCAATACAGTTTGTGGCCTAAATAATATATAGGATTTCTTCAAATACTTGGTTTTTTTGTTTGGTATGATTCAAACCCAATCTTAGTGACCATCTCACGTCGTGATTTCCCGGTCTCTAGAATCAATAAATGTGTACAAGCTCAAAGCACATGTCCGCCACAACATCATACGTAGTATATAATAATCCCGATGGAAGCCATATGCACGAACAAATCTAAAGCTTCTTTATTAGACATTTAGACCCATTTTGTTCTTGGCATGAAATCAACGCTAGCTTGGAAGTCAAATTGTTGTACAAATGGCATCCATTTCATTAAACAAATGGCAAGTTTCAGCTAGACAACCACCACATCTATCTAACACCATAATCATAGAGTTAGAGATAATCACATTCCTCTACCGCATTTGATCTTAAATTAGCATTCATGCCTCAACATTCCCAATTGAACATGCTTGGGCAAGATCGAGTTCCACGAAACCAAGTCACACATGACTTTCATCAAATACCTTCCTGGCATCACCAATGTGACCACACAGTATACACGTTAATCAAAATATTATGAAAATATTCATCTAATCTGAAACCCATTTGGAACACTCTACCTTCAAATATGGAAAACCTGTGAATACATGCTAGCTTGAAAAAGAATTGGTTCCGTTCTCAATGGACTTGGAAAGAAAGAGACAGTATGTAGAAATTGCCACATTCTCCCCACTACATGTAATACCACATTCCCCACTGCAAGGTATGATTTCACCATCTCCCAAATATTTAGAAATTAGAATTAAGTCTATTCAATATCAAGAATCTCATTAAACTGAATCATTGTTTACTTAAGAGTTTTACTATCCCTACTTAATATAATATTTATGTTATTGATGAACTGGACAACAATATCTCCTTCAGGCTTGGTTTAATTAGACATCTTTTAGATTATGTAATTGAAAACTTTATTATATTACTTGGGGTGGATATTAGAAAATGCATATTGGAGAAGACTAATTCAGATGCCAACATAGACTTATGGCATTACTATTGTTTGATTCTTAAAATGTTAAAATTTACATTAAATGTATTCACCCAGAATACTACGAGTTCAAAAATCCTAACTTAGAAGAAGAACTTAGGATATTCCTAAGTTGAAATATCCTCAAAATTTGAAGGAGATCAGAACTATAAGGATCAACAATGTGCAGAACATAATCACTCCTTTTATAGAAGCTTTAGATCAACTTTTCTAAAGAAATCAATCATGAGCTTATTACTATGTTGGTACCGCTTGCATTCTTCATTTCTCTTATTTCTATATGAAGGCTCTGTGTGCACTTCTAAATCTATTCCCTTCAGGCTTATAATAAAATGTTATATAGAGCTAAATGCAGTCTAAGGGTCTCTCTAAGGGTCATAGCAAGTTGTTCTCCTTCTTTTTTTAAACAAACAATACCATTAGATATTTATGTGTTATAAGGTTGAAAACGATCCAAAAATACACTAATACTACTTCTAAAAACCTACTTAATGCTACTTATAACTCAATTCAGTATATTAACGAACCTGTAAAAATCAATTTAGCAACTAAAACGAATTCTTAAATCATTAAACACGGTTTTTTTCTAGGCACTCTATTACTCCATATATATCAATATGATATTACTCGACCAGAATAATTTAAGTCTAACCTTACTCAAATCCTATAGTAAGAGTTCATCGATCAGCAATTAAACATTAACTAAACACTAATAATTGAGTGCATGTCCGTTGGACTGTCCACAAGACCACAACCTCCTCCAAAGCTTTACACTTGGTCAGTTAAAGTCCTTTGAAAGTTGACTAAAATGCCACATAGATGCAATATCCTTGTTCTATTTCGCATTTTGTAATTGATAAACGAAATCACAAGGGTTGATGTTGAATTTTCCATATTGTTAAGATTTATTTGACAATAAGTACATCCTCCATCCCAAATTTTAACTTTTGAAGTGTATTCTTCGAAATATCAAGAAAAGCGGTCAGACCAAAGGAGATGAGTAGAGCTGAGCAAAAAAAGGTTCCTTGTTCTCGCTTGTCAACCCCTAATAAATCTGCCGTGTGAGGAACAATCCGCGTATTGAAAATCGATTAATAAAAGACAATTGGATAAAGAATCGTACCATTCGCTAAAGAAGAACTGGATCCCTGAATCTCAGAAGGTACAAAGAGGTTTGAGAGGCGTATAGGCTTTTTTTCCTTAGCCTGGAGAATGTCGTCGTTCACTGTCCAGAGTTATGACATGGACGGTTGGCACGACAAGATGGCATAGATGGGCGCGGATGAGACGGGAGACCTGCTGCAGGATACCAGGATGAGAACTTGGAAGCCGCTGACCCTGAGAGAAGACAAGAAGCGGAGGTCATGGAAGAAAACCAAGAGAAGAGAAGCTGTAAAAGACGGAAGTTATTAACGGAAATCAAAAGGAAGAGTAAATTCATATAAAAGAGTACACAACTCAAAACACAATGTACCACCTGATAAAGCAAATGATTACACTAACACAATTGTATACCCTAAAATGCTCTAACCCTCATTGAGGATTATAAGCTTTTAAGATATAAAGTAACAAGGTGTAGCACCTTACTTTTCCCTCCAATTGGACATTTAATGTTTGAAACGCATTAAAAAATATGAGTTACATGAATAATATTGGAGTAAATCAAATATTTTCAATTCAAAATCTATCTATAATAATATAAATAAAGTGACAAGGTGTAGCACCTTGTATTGATGTAATACACATGCGCCCACTCAATACTCATCTAGCTAACACATAAGTTGATTCTTCAAATTGGATTTTCAAGTGAGTTGACTCAAAAAAAAATGTGACTTCTGAAAAACTAATTTTGATTCTACTTCCGCTTCTAAAAAAGAAGTAGAAGCACGACTAAAATGAATAAGCAAACGTACATGCAACTAAGCTAAGCGCGAACTTTATGCACGACAATTGCCCTACTGGAAAATGTTAGTTTGTAATTAGTTGGGGTAAAAAAGCTCTATCCATCCACGTCTTTTGGGTCCAGTTTATATAGGAGAGAGTCAAGAGTCACACCCAAATTACACCCTTTAATTATTCTTCAAATACTTTTCAACAAACAGTCTTAGCAGTTGGTTTTCCGTTTATTTTCTAACCATGACCGTTCAATCCAAAGATAATTATATCCATCAGTTCATAATTGTGTTTTAGTGACATTTGTGTCGCAAAATAAAAAATCACCATTGTTATCCAATGAGTGTTTAATACTTCATCTTGACCTCGATCTCCATCACTTTGGTCTCACTAGCAAAAGATTGAATGAGTGATGTTGAATTGAATTTTGTAAAATTACCAAGTCACAAGAAATGATCAAATAAATATGATAAAAGTACAAAGGATAGTTAGGAAAAATCACTTTTTTGTACACTGAAAATCTTCTTACGTATTTGCATTCCTCATTGTGCAAGATGGGAGAACTTAAGAAGCTAGTTGAAGAGGGTAAAATAAAATACATAGGTCTATCTGAGGCTTCAGCTTCGACTATAAGAAGAGCACACAATGTTCATCCTATAACAGCAGTGCAGTTGGAATGGTCTTTATGGTCAAGAGATGTTGAGGAAGATATAATTCCTACTTGCAGGTGCATTATCTATCTCCTCCAGTTTTTAACAAGGAATAAAAACTATGATCATGCTTATAATATTCTTCTGATTTATTTATTTTTAAATTTTCAGAGAACTCGGGATTGGAATTGTTGCATACAGTCCTTTGGGACGAGGCTTTTTATCATCCGGTCCAAAGCAATTTGAGGATTTCCCAGATGGGGACTTACGAAAGGTTTGTGTTTATAATACTCTGTAACTCTGTTCTTGATATAAAAATTTTATGGATCATGTCAACATTATGTGATCAGTTACAAAATAAGCGGATTGTTTGATTTGATAAGATCTGATAAAAATAACTTGATTACTGACTCCAAACTTCAGGGAAGAGTTGCATTGTACTCTTATTCATGATGTCATCTATGGGAAGGTTTCACTCATATCTCGTGTTAAAAAGGATTTTAGTGTAACCAATGAGAATATGTACTCCTTTTCTGATGTACCATAATTAAAAATGAAAAACATTTACTCAATGCATAAAAGTTAAGTATGAATGTCATTCTGGTCAAAAGAGCACTTTAACTATTTATATGGGAGAGCATCTTTATATTTGCATCTACTCGTTGAAGTATACCAATCTCAAATTCTAACCAACATCGGTATGTGTATGCTCTTTTATAGTTTTAGTCACATCGATTATTTGTTTCAACTGTACTACCTCTATAACACCATGGCAACTATGAGTTTTGTATTTTTTTAGGAAGTGAGTATTAGTAAACAAAATAATGTATTTAACCTCGCAGCATCTACCAAGATTTCAAGCAGAAAATATTGAGCACAACAAAAAGCTGTATGAAAGGATTGTTGAAATTGCTGGAAAGAAAGGATGCACTCCTGCACAGCTAGCATTAGCCTGGGTGCACCACCAAGGAGATGATGTATGCCCCATTCCCGGTACCACTAAGATTGAGAACTTTAACCAGAACATTGGTGCATTGAGTGTGAAGTTAGCAGCAGAAGACATGATTGAGCTTGAAAAAATTGCTTCTGCCGGTGTGATCATGGGTGATAGATATACGCCTGATGTGGCAACATGGAAACAATCTGATACTCCATCATTGTCTACATGGAAAGCTGCATAGCTGCTTCCATACTATGCACTGGTTTCTACTGTTTGCATTTTATAATGTGTGAAAATATGTTGGAACCTGCTTTTGAATATTTCCTTTTGAGAATAAGAACCTTTGAGGGGAAAAATAATACAATGTTTTTCATCTATTTTATTCACTAATGAAATACTACTCCAGCTATTTGCTTGTTTGAAGCCTTGCTAGTAATATCTATACTTTTAAGTATCATATAATTTGAATGGATTATAACTTTAAGAAACTAATTTATTAAATCTAATCACTATTAAATAATTAACAAACAAATACAACATAATAGTTTCTTGAGCATTGCAAATTGTATTGGACAGCTAGACACTTCGCTTGAGTTGTGTCACTTCTTTAGGCTTGAGTTTAAAGGGCTTGATTTTTAAATAACACTCCGGACTTTCCCGCTTCGTGAAGTTAAGATAGGCACTTAGGAAATAAGGTAGCAACGGGAGCACACGATTTAAATTCTCCAATATGGAGATTCTTCCACTATACAAAAGAATAGTAGGGTATACAAGGATGTTACAAAAATGTCTCACTCAATGGTGGCTCACTCAAGCTTGAGGATAGGAACTTCCCAAGCTATCTCTCTTCTCTCTCAAAGAGGCTCTCTAACTTTCTCACTCTAGAAGTGGATTCACTCTTGGCTAAGATGGTTAGGAATGAAGCTCCTGCCCCTATTTATACTACTCCACCTTCACAATTAATGGTGGAGATGATTTCTATCCAAGGGTGGAGATTGATTCTCTAGAATGCTCCACACACTCTAGGAGTCTCTATACTCTTCCACTCTCTTCCATAAGCTTCTGGAAGGTTCCACACATCTCTAGAATATTCTAGAGGATTCCACACCATTCCACAAACTTCTAGAGAGTTCTAGACTTCTCTAGGATTCTCCGAAACTTTCTAGAAAATTCTATACTTTTCTAGAAAGCTCTAGAATTTTCTAGAACCTCTCCAATTAAGGAGGGATCCCAACAAATCTCCCCCTCCCGACTTAATTGGGGGGTAGTAGCAAACCTGCACCTTGACAGCAGTCTTCGAACTTTTTTTTCGGTATTACCTTGGTCATTATGACTGACCAGTTTTCGTCTATGTGAACCTTGTCAAGATGCAATTTCTTTCCTCGAGAACTTCTTGGCAATATCTTTACCATGGGAGAGATTTTTTCTTCAATGTGCATGCCTTTTCCTTGTTGGAATCCTTTGACGATCAACCGAGCTTTAGAGCGAGACTTTGAGCTTCTATCTTCGGTCTTGATTCGATACACCCATTTATTCTTCAAGGCTCTTCTCCCTTTTGGTAGCTCCACAAGTTCATAAGTGTGATTCTCATGCAAGGATTGCATCTCTTCTTGCATGGCTTTTCTCCACTCTTCTTTATGAATATCATTGATTGCTTCTTTGTAACTTTGCGGCTCCCCCTCATCCGTGAGTGTAATGTAATCTTTGGTGTTATACCAGATGGATGGTCTTCTCTCCCTAGAGGATCACCTCGGCTCTGGTGCTGGCAGAGAACTAGATTGAGGATCTTCCTGATTTGATTCATCATGAGTCTCTTGGTTGCTTTGCTCATGGTTTTCATCATCATTATCTTGATGTGTGTCATCCTCACGTTGAACTGGAGTTAGTTCGGTGTTCTTGCTTCTTCTCAATCTTGACTTCTCCGAATTCTTAATATCTTCAATCATTTGGTCTTCGAAGAAGATGACATCTCTGCTACGAACAACCTTCTTGTTGACTGGATCCCATAGCCGATAGCCGAATTCGTCCTGAGGTGAACGAAAGTAGATACACTCTTTCGTCTTTGCATCAAGCTTTTCTCGCTCATCCTTGGGAATGTGAACAAATGCTCGACACCCGAACACCTTAAGATGATTGTATGAAGCCTTTTTGCCCGTCCAGACTTCCTCTGGGATGGCTCCGTTCAAAGGGACCAATGGTGTGAGGTTGACAATGTCAACTACGGCCATTGTAGCTTCTCCCCAAAATGATTTGGGTAACTTAGCATGAGAGAGCACGCAGCGAACTCTTTCTTCAATTGTTCTATTCATTCTCTCTGCTAGACCATTTAATTGTGGTGTCTTGGGGTGGAGTCTTCTCTAACCTAATGTCATATTTCTTGCAATAGGCTTCAAAGGGACCTCTATACTCACCTCCATTGTCCGACCGTACACACTTGATCTTTCGGCCGGTCTCACGTTCTACTTGAGCGTGGAATTCCTTGAAGGCGTCAAGCACTTGATCCTTGGATTTTAACAGGTGCAGCCACACCTTCCTTGAATGATCATCAATGAAGGTCACAAAGTACAACCCAGAAGTGTAGGAGACGGCAACCTATTAATAATTTATATGCACCCGTAAAAAGTGCATCAACCCAGAAGTGACTCGGTATCGAGGCCTCGAGAAGCATGGTACGAGTCAATTCTAGTAAATGACGATGTTTACGTTTAGCAGCCCCATTTTGTTGGGGTGTGTCAGGACAAGATTTTTGAAAATAAATTCCATTAGTCGCAAAAAAAATGCTGCATATTATTAACAAATTCACCACCCTCATCACTTTGAAAATTTTTAATTTTCTGATTAAAAAGATTTTCAACCAAAACTCTAAATTTTTTAAAGTGCATAAAAACTTCACTTTTGTGGCACATGGGGTAAATCCAAGTAAAACGAGAATAATCATCAATAAAGCAGACATAATAGTTGAAACCCAAATTAGAGCGAACTTGGGATTGCCACACATCAGAATGAATAATTTGTAATGGATCGGAAGAAAACAATTATGGCTAGAATCCATAAAAGGTAAACGTTGAGATTTTCCTAATCGACAACAACACAAGCATGAGTAAAAAGAGAGGTATTACATAATCATTGTTGACGTTTAAGAAACTGTAAAATGCTGTCACCACAGTGACCTAGTCTACGGTGCCACATAGGGCCAGAAGCTAAAACAAACGCTAATGCTAAAGGTGGAGATGATGGTAGACTGAGAGGATAAGAGTGGTCCACTACTGGTAGCTCGCAGAAGTACCGCCCCTGAGGCTTTGTCCTTAACCAAAAATGAATTTTTATCAAAAATGACATTACAGTTGTTATCAACACATAGTCGTTGAATAGAAATTAAATTGTACTTTAACTGAGGCACATGATAAACAGATTTTAATGTTAGGGGGCGACCAGAAGAAGGTAATGCAACATCACCAACATGATAAATGGGTAAATGGGCACCATTAGCAACACTAACAGAATTATAGCCAGTATAAGTAGATTTATTAATTAGAATACCGTCTGATGAAGTCATATGAGAAGATGCTCCCGAATCAGGATACCATAATGCAGAGTTAGATTCCTCAGGAGTAGTCATCAAAGCAGGTTGTGTGCACAGTTGTTATCAACACATAGTCGTTGAATAGAAATTAAATTGTACTTTAACTGAGGCACATGATAAACAGATTTTAATGTAAGGGGGCGACCAGAAGAAGGTAATGCAACATCGCCAACATGATAAATGTGTAAATGGGCACCATTAGCAACACTAACAGAATTATAGCCAGTATAAGTAGATTTATTAATTAGAATACCGTCTGATGAAGTCATATGAGCAGATGCTCCCGAATCAGGATACCATAATTCAGAGTTAGATTCCCCAGAAGTAGTCATCAAAGCAGGCGATGAGGGTTGTGTGAAGCGAGAAGGACAAGTAATAGCGGAATGACCTGCAGAAAAACAGATTTGACACACAACAAGATGGGAAACTGACCCAAGAATTCCTCCATATGATGACAAGCCTGCAGAACCAAAGTTAGTAGCACAAACAGGTAATGCATGAATATTTAAATGTGACACAGATGAATTACAAATAACAGTGCCCATGGAGGACACACCCTCTGCCTGCGGAGCATATCCAGCCGGAACAATAGAACCCGCACCACCGCCTGCAACGAACTGCGGAGGTTGTCTCGGTGGTGGATACCAGACCGGCTGTCCATAGTACTGCGGCTGGTGACCTCTGCCACGACCACGGCCACCCCGGCCGCGGCCTGCTCGACCTCGAACGCCACGGCCACGCTGACCCTACTGCTGCTGCGGGTATGCTGGTCGCTGCCCCTGCTGCTGACCACACGGCTGTTGGGCCACGTGCTGATCGGGTTGCTGAGCTTGTGCACCGAAGGCGTGGTGCACCGAAGCTTCCTGAGACCGGAAGAAATAAAGACACCGTAGTGAACAAGGATTCATATTCAGGTCCCAGACCCATAATTGTGGATTTCAGCGGTTCTCGTGGAGGAATAGGGCAGTTGATAGTAGCTAGATCATCAGCTAAAATTTTAATCTCACGCAGATAATTATCCATAGACTGATCAGGTTTCTTTTTAATTTGATTCAGCAAACGCTTTAATTCCATAGACCTAGCTAAACTAGCAGACACGAAGCGAGATTCTAACCGTTCCCAAATTTCACAAGAATGTTTTAAATCCCGAACATCAATAAGAACATCACGTGATAGAGTGACAACTAACCAGGAACGAATCATTTGATCAATTCGTAGCCAAGTAGAAAATTTGGGATTGAGAATTGACGATTTAGAATATCTATGGAATAAGCGAGAGATACCTGAATGGAGCCATCAACCATGCCAAGAAGACCTTGTGAGACAAGAAACGACTCAAACTAGGTCCTCCAAGTAGTGTAATCTTCCACCGCCAAAAGTTTGATAATAACAATGTTGGTTACATTGGTAGCCACATAGGAGATTGTTTGCGCGAGGGATGCCAAGGTGGAATCAGAATTACTGACAGCAGGGGTCCGGAGTGGCGGCAAGGTTGAGGACACCCTTGATGACCCAACAAACGTCGGCTCAGAGAAAGAACCGACCGAGAGAGGAGGTGGGTCTAGGGGAATGTGCTGCACCGGAGTAAGGGCTCGCCACGGGAATACTGGCGGCATATTATGAAACAGAGAATACATCCCAGAAGCTCGACTCGATGACGCAAAGCTGGAGGAGAACGTCACGTCTGATTCACCAGAACTGAGGACCGGCTGCGTTCCAAAGGACAAAGGAGCGCCGGTCGTCATTGACATAGTAGCCGCCGCTGCAGAAGAGGAAGGAACGGTGGATGCTGTGGAGGTTGCCGCCACGGTGGTCGTTGTGGAAGAGGATATCACGACGGAGGTGGTTGAAGCATCTGTGCGGCGCATGAGATAGAGAAAAACGAAAAAAAAACTTGGTTTTTACTGGGCTCTTAATACCATGTGAGAATAAGGAACCTGTCATATGTATATCTAAAAATAAATGAGTTTAGAGAAAAGTGTCAGATTGGCCCTCCTAGTTTGTACGGAAAGTCAATTTAGCCCTCCTACTTTAAGTTTGATCAATTAGGTCCTCCTACTTCATAATTTTCATCAAAACCGACTTTTAGCAGGTAACCTACCACCCAGCAGGTTGTCTGATGACGTGGCGCACACGTGGCCTGACACAACACACATGTGGCAGCCACATCATTTTTTCTTTTCTTTTCCACTTTCTTTTTTCCTTCTTTCTTTTCTTTCCCTTCATCTTTCTTCTTCTTCTCCATCGCAGCAGTGAGGTCGCAGGCCAGGTGAACAGTAGCCGCCAAAATTGAAGGTGCTCGGAAAATTAAACTAAAAATATGAGGAGGTGCGCCTCTTCACGGAGACCTCATTTACATATTCTATACTTTCCGACCGAGCCCTGAAGTCGCCGGAAAAAATGGCGAAGGAGTACAAAAATGAGAAATGTGAGCAGATTCCGGCCAGCTACAAACCAGCCCCCAAAACTCGTTCTCACCGGCTCAAAATTGATATGGAGAGTCTTACCTAGCTAGATAACTCTAATCTAGTCTCAAAATAAAAAACAATCGCCTATATTTGAGTTATGGGCAAAAACTGATCTCCGATTTAACAGTGTTTCCGGCGATATTTATCGGTCATAGGCGGAGTAATAAAGAAAGGGGTCGGGAAAGAGACAAAATAAATAAATAAAGACAATCACAGCAAGATTCTGCCATTTGCAAAGAAAATGAAGTTTTGCAGGTTTGGAGGAGGAAGAACGATGGGGAAGGGGATCCGGGAAAGGAAAGAAAAAGAAAAGAGAAAAAGAAAAGGAAAAAAGTGATTTTGTTGCCACGTGTGTGCTGTGTCAGGCCACGTGAGCGCCATGTGTGCACCACGTCAGCAGGTAACCTGCTGACTGGCGGGTTACCTGCTAAAAGCCGGTTTTGATGAAAATCGCAAAGTAAAAGGACTTAATTGATGAAATTTAAAATACCAGGGCTTAATTGACTTTCCGTACAAAACTTGGAGGGCCAATATGACACTTTTCCCAAGAGTTTAATATAAACGACCAACAATGAACGACACCCAACGAGTCAACGACCAACAATTATTTGCCGCAAAAAGCCTATTGTTACACACATTTTATACACACACATACACACTATAAATACTCCCTAAAAAAATTTACCCCCCTTCCTCCTCCCAATCACACGTACCTAGCTAAAAAAACCCCAAATCCAATCTAAAAAAAAACCCTCCCCCTTGTGCGCATCCCTTCCTCCCGCCATTGACGATTCCGCTCCCTTCCCTTCATCCCTGCAACCGGCGAGCCTCTGCCAAGCCCTCACCAACCCGGCGGCGTTCGTCCCCCCACCCGGCGGCGTTCGTCCCCCCACCCGGCGGTGTACGTCTCTGAACGAAGGGGTCAAAGAATAGGCAGTGAAACGAGCGTTCTTCCCCTAATGAAAGTCGTCCCGTACAACCAGCACTGCTTAATTGACAAAGAATGGTGCGAACCCCACTTTCTTCAATGGCCGAAAGGTATGGTCCTCTATTCTTGAAATTTTTAGTGTAGATATAGTTGATGATGGTTATTTGGAGGGTGAAGCAAGATTGTTTTGTTTAGCATGTTTTGGAACCCCATCTAGTGCTTGGATTTTGAACAATACACAAATATCAATTTATTTGTGCTTTGTGTGGGGATATGTCATGTGGGGATATGCATTGTCTGCCTAAGGTTGATTTTATGCCTGTTGAAGGACATATATATTGTCTGTGTGAAGATTTTGTGTAGTTATTTGTCTGTGTGAAGTTATATGTAAAAGGATGTGCCTCCATTGTCTGTGAAGAGTTATATGATTGTCTGTACGACTTCACATATGTCTGTGTGTGTTATATGATTGTCTGTGTGACTACTAAAACAGGTCCAAATGAAAAATTTCTAGGTCTTTTGGAAAAGTAATGATTTTTCCAATTTATTTTAGAATTGTGGAATGTCGAGGATCAAATTCCTTAAAATAGCTTGATTAATTTGGACCTCGGGTACCTTAAAATAATGCGGATTATTTATTTTGTAGTTTTATTAAAAATGTTAAGCGACCTTTTGCTCAGTCATTAAAATCTTACACAGTATGGTCTATGATATATTGTTTAAACACCGCTTGGCACAACACTAATAGACACTCTATGCTATAAACAGAATTCAAGTGGGTCAAAAGAACTTAGGTTAAACTGCATTAAGAAATTGGACTCCATCTCCCAATCTATTAGGTAGTAACTCAAGTTCATTTTGGGGATATGTCATTACTTTCTATGTATTGTCTGTGTAAGGTTAATTTGATGCTTGTTGAAGGACATATGTATTGTCTGTGTGAAGATACACATGTGTAGTTCCTTGTCTGTGTGAACTTATATGTAATTGGTTGTGGCTTCATTTGTCTATGAAGACTTAAATGATTGTCTGTATGAGTCTACATATGTCTGTGTGAGTAATATGCTTGTCTCTGTGACTCTACTAAAACATGTCCAATTGAAAAAATGTGTAGGACTTTGGAGAAGTAATGAATTTTCCAATGTATTGTACAGTTGTGGTTCACTTCTCCAACCGGGGATTAATGTCTTTATGCAATCTTTTATGTCCAGATTTGGTGTTTGCAGCGTGATGGTAATGGCCTTTGCCGAGTCACAGATGCAGAACTTGCCATTGCAGCCCGAGTGTGCATATGAGAACATGGCAGCGAAAAGATGTGAATTCGCAATGAGGCACTGAACTTTGAGGAAGCGATCCACTTAGACTACTTTGGGACTCCGTGTTTAGTGTTGGATGTGTTTAGTTGTTAAATGTAGGAGGTTGTACAATGTTACACTAACAATGTTGTACAATGTCCTAGAATGTACTCCCAAATATTCAATAATTTGGTATGCCTTTTCGTTTTTGTGGCAAACACATACTTTTAATGGTGTTAATATATATGGAGGATGTCTTTGCCTGTGAAGAAGAAAAATCTTGTTTGTGCTGTAATACGACTTTGTATGTGCTTTGTGTCGTTGTTGTCTGTGCTATGTATGCGCTCTTACATCCACTTAAGATATTTTTAATAACTACTTTATGTAATTTAATAACTAAAACATTTATTACTTTGATTACCACTGGAGCCCATGTGTAAACTTGACTTTGATTACATTTATTATATTTATTACAGATTATTAGTTTAATTTTAAAAACTTGACTTGTTTATTTAAATAACTAGTTGTTTAAAAACTGCTAGTATATGTAATCCATTGCCTAGTTAGTTAAGTACGACATGAGAATTAAACGAGATTCTTTTTTGAAGCATTTAGTTTGGTAACATTAATGAAAAATCAACTAGTGAGTGTTATTCTTCTCATTGATCAAGAAGGGTTTTAGGGTTTATTTTGTTATTATTTAACATAACCACGAATAATCAACTATAAGTATTAAATCAAAGTCTACAAATATGAAACAGATGTTGAAGGGAATTAAATAAACCAATTGATATGATTCGACTAATTAATCTATCAAACCATGCATTGAATGCCACCTACTATGTTCAAAGAACTCATCTCTTGTGATGAATTACTAGCAGACATTTATGATTTTTACAGCATGGTTGGGGGTTTATATTGTTTCACATTAGCTAAACTAGCTAGCTGTTTCACTACTCAAATGATGTTAAAACATTTTTAGGTATTTGCAATGTCCCCATGGTTTTCAGTTGAATGTAATCTGAAAATGATTTTTGCATATTGGACATCCAGAATAAGAGCTGCTAAGAGGGCCCCTTGATGACCAGGACTATCAATATTTATATAAATGCAAGTTGATAACGCATTATATATATAATTTATATAAAGAGCTGCTAAGAGCTGCCAAGAGTCAAAATCCACACACCAAATATGCACATTTCAGAAGTATATATACACACATGCAGGCTAAATGTGCATACACAGGCACTGGTACAATTCTGCACAGACAGAAGTATACATACACAGAGACAGAACTATATTTACACAGACATTTCAAATAGAAGTTTATTTACACAAAGACATGAGTAAATTTAAAACATTTTAAACACAGACACGACTATATACACATCACAAACACATAGACAATAGTATACACTGCACACAAACACTACAAATACAGAGAATTGTCTGTGAAGAACAAACATTTATTTACGTTTAAAGCTAAGCTAATGAAATCAAATACATAAACGATCTAACATCAACACACACTCATACGAAGCTCAGGGATGTCGTCCAAGGCGGCCGCCGCCGCTTCTCCGTCATCTTCAGTCGCCGGAATTTCTCCTCCAGCTCGAGAAGCATCAACCTTTTGCTCCAATTCAGCCCAAAATTCGTCTGTTGTAATGATCGTTTCCTTTACAAAGCCACCAAAATGCATTGATTTTGAGGAGAGGAGGTGCTGGCGTCGATGTGCTGCGGGAAGAAGAAAGAAACGATGAAGGGGGAGAGAGGAGAGAGGCTGGGGTTGCAATTTCACGTGAAGGAGGAAAGGGGTAAAAAATGGTAATTTTGGGGCCTATTTATAGTGCGTAGGTGTGTGTATGAGTTTTGTATACCCCAAGCCCAATTGTATTTGCCGAACACCCCTTTTATCTGGTCAGAGCAAATCCGGTACGGGATCAAATAATTCAGGGAATTCCGGTACCTCTTGGACCGGGGTTTATTAGTACTGAGTGACATTCAACCACCAGTCAACACTTTTCGTCACTCCGTTCCTACAATCCAACCTCCAATTTCTCCCACTATATCTCATCAGGAAAAACAGTCGCATTGTGCGTTTCAGAATCCATGGCGGCGGCGGCGGCGGCGGAAGGAAAAGGAGTGAAGGTCCCGAGAATGAAGCTGGGTTCGCAGGGGCTGGAAGTGTCGGCGCAAGGCCTGGGCTGCATGGGAATGTCCGCCTTCTACGGCCCGCCCAAGCCGGACGCCGATATGATCAGCCTCATCCACCACGCCGTCAACTCCGGCGTCACCTTCCTCGATACCTCCGACATGTATGGCCCCCACACTAACGAGATCCTTCTTGGGAAGGTATGCCGCTATCTTTCATGCCTACTTTTTTTCGCAGTACTTGGATATTTGGAATTCCTGTCTATCTTTGTTTAAATATATATACACTCGTACATGGATAGAAAGTGATGTTTTTATGCTTTGTATCGAGGTCATGACATAACCAGAAGCATTGAATTATCAATATCACAGCCTGTTTGGCAAAAACGAAATTGAAGGAACTGGCCGAATTTCCTGAAATTTTGGAAGGTCTGATCTTAAGCATTTGAATTGGGTGAATCTATTGAATTACCTGAAAATTATATTTAAAATATACTCCCTCCGTCCCGAAATGAAGCTCAGACCTACAAACATATATGTACATATTTATGTAAGGTACAATTTTGTTTTGACTTTCCAAATTTACCCTTACTTTATGTCAAATCAAACAAAAAGTGAGTAAAAGGTAAGGGTACTTGTAACTTTTGGGATTAAAGTGGTTTCCTTTTATAGAAATTGGAACTTCTATTTGGGACATCCATACAAGGAAAGTGAGAACTTCTTTTCGGGATGGAGGTAGTACATTTTATTGAGAAAATCAAGAAATTTTCTTATGGAAAAATATCTACAGTAACTTAGCCAAATCAGCAACTTCAACTTTACTTATTTTGATTATTATACAATTCAGTGTGCGAAATCAAAAGTTACGTATTTGGTATAAAAAAAGACTAATAAGACGTGCAGAAGCTCCAGGGAGGATCTACGTGCAGATGCCCTATTAAATTTTTTTATTCCATAGGTTTAGGATTAGGGGTGCTTTTAAAAGAAAAGCAGAAGCAAAATCAGTTTTTCAGAAGTTGGTCTACCGCAACTTCTGGGTGCAGTTTCACCCAACTTCGGCTCACTGAAGAAGCAAAAGCACTTTTAAGAAGTAAATCCAAACACCCCATTAATACTAAACCATGCAATTTCAGCTGTAGAAAAAAAAAGGACTTCCCCCAATAAATTTGTTTGCTGTCGGCCCTTGCCCCAACTGGAATGATGTAAAACTATGAAGGAGATAAGGTAATTTGTACTCATTAAAGAGAATTAAATGGTGCTCAACTTTATTTAAAAAGTTAAAGGATAATCATTTTGAATACTGAGTATTATTTGTCTGTGATAAAATTGTTGAATTATCAAATTCTTAAAATAATGCTCCCTTTGTCTTGAATTTTTTGGGTCCACCTTAAAATAAAAAAATTCTGTCTTTTTTGGAATGAAATTCGGGTTTCAACCGCACAATTTCATTTAAAATCACATTTCATGATAAGTGTGAGGAGTCTAAACATGTATATCATTTCAGGACAAGGAAGCACAAAACAATATAATAAATCACTATAGGATGGATTAGAAGTTAGAACACATTATAAGGTCCAGTTCTATGATAGCATGCCTCCAATGAACATTTTTTCTAGATTAGCCAATGATTGTTTCTTAAACATTTTTGCTGAAGGATTATTAGAGGTTTGCGCAATGATAGCATGCCTCCAATAAACATGTTTAATGGAGACTTCTAACAAAGTGTTCTATGATAGCATGCCTCCAATAAACATTTTTGCTGAAGGTTTAATAAGGATTTCGCAAATGGAGACTTCCGAAAGGTTTGCCCTTATTGTACTCCGTAACTTTTTCTTCTGAATAAGAGGTTTTTATAGATCATGCAACTTGGATAGATATGGGGTGGTATCCAATTTATGACCATATCAATTAGTAGAATATCGCTTGCCTAACGGAATGTAAGTAACAAGTTAAAGTTGTTTTTGACTTGTTATATATTGAATCGAGTCTTAGGTATGCTTAGCACGATTCATTGAAAATGTATTTTTGTGAGTTTTTAGTAACTTTTAGCTTTTAGTGACGGAAAAGATCTTTAGTTCTGCTTAAATAGCTAACTGTTTGATTTAGTTCTGCTTGGTATAACAAGTTGTGACTAATTAATGCTAGAGCTATAGACTTTCTCTCAAATGCCCTAGTACAACGAATAGTTTTGGAATTTTCTTACACGATTTTTTTACCTAAATAATTTTTAAAAAACTTGAAAATTGGGTGGGCCGGGCCCTAGGTTGTCCCCAGCTACACCCCTGCTTACTATAGTAAGTAAAATAATCTTTTGAATTTTTTTGTGAGTCGTTACAAAAAAAATAAAAATAAAAAAGCTAATGAGCTAACTTGGGAAATTAATTGATCTACTCTATAATTAGTTATAATTGGTGGGGAAAATCCCACCTCTTCACTGTTCATGAGCTTTTATAAACTCTTGTAGACTTGTAGGCTTTTACTCACGCACTCGTTAATACAAAAAGCACAATGAAAGAACATGACTTTGTATTATATAATGAGACATTCAAAAAGATTTTTCTAGTGTACATTTAGCTCACTTCACTCTTCTACTTCACTCTACCTTACACATTTATTTACACTTATTAGTTGGATTTGGAATGTGAGCCTGTGTATTTAATTGTGCAGCTTTTACCAAGGTTTCAAGCTGAAAATCTTGCACACAACAAGAAGTTGTATGAAAGGATTGTAGAAATAGCTGCAAAGAAAGGATGTACTCCTTCACAACTAGCATTAGCCTGGGTGCACCACCAAGGAAATGATGTATGCTCAATTCCTGGTACCACTAAGATTGAGAACTTTAACCAGAATATTGGTGCATTGACTGTGAAGCTGACAGCAGAAGACATGGCCGAGCTTGAAAAATTTGCTTCTGCTGATTTGGTCAAGGGCGATAGATATACACCTGATATGGCAACATGGAAACGATCTGATACTCCGCCCTTGTCTACATGGAAAGCTGCCTAATGCTTTCGTGTAGTGGTCTCTACTCTATCCGCATATTAGTGTATGGGAGTGAGTTGTAACCTGTCTTGAGTGGTTTCTTTTGAGAATAAGCACCTTATAAGGGCAGAGTAGATGTGTTTATTTTCATCTCTTTTATTTTCTAATGAACTACTACTTCAGCTGTTTGCTTTTTCCAAGCTTATTTTTATCATAAGCTAAAATATGGTTGTTGTAGCCATGATATTTCTGGAAAGAATATCACATTATATGGCGTCATACTGTAGTCGTGGTTCCAGCCAACCCTTACGGCTGGCCTGTTTGGATGGAGTGTTAGAAGGGGTTAGTAATGAAAGTGTTAAAGAGTGTTGGCTTTAACACTTGTTTGTGAGATTTTTTAAAAAAAAAATTGGGGTGTTAGTATTTAAAAGTATTTAACACCCCACATTGGAGTGTTTTGGAGTGCTGGACAAATCTTGCCCCTTCCTGAAAATGGTTCATCGACCAAATTTCAATCATCCCCTCATCGGTCATCTCAATTGGAGCCATCTTTCTTGGCTTGGCTAATAGCCTAATAGCCTAATAGCTCCTTCATTCTCCATGATTGATATTGCACTCAACTTGCCAGTTTATCTCATCTTTAACCCAATTCTGATGCGACAACTATGGTGGTCGGCCTCGCCATCACTGACGTACTCACTTCGGCTACTGTAGTTGTTTAATTTAGTTGAATTGTCTTGATTTCATATAGTTAGTTGTCTTGAATTATGGTTTCCATACCTGATTTCAACAAGTCCACAGTTGCATGATGAAGTTTGCCAACTATGCCAGTTCAATTCAACGCACCTATGGAAAGGTGCGCTTGGTTAACAAATCAAGAAGTTGGAATGAGAATAGTAAAATGCTAAAGATACCCCAAAATGGAGTACTCCATTTTTACCCCGGCCATAAACGGAACAACTCATCAAGCGGGGCACCACTTAATGAGTTGTTCCATTTATGGTCACCCATTAGGGTGGGGTAAAAACGGGGGTACCCATTTTGGGGTACCTTTAGCATAGCTCATGAGAATAAACTTGATAGGAGGAAATTGGTTTCATGTACCCATTTGGGGACTCGAAGGGGCACAAAGTTAGGAAACAAAATCTAGGGAGCATCTTCTACTCGACATAAAGCATATCCCCAATCCCCACAGACTAGCCTTAGACCCGGTTCGGGACACCCAGCCCGGGAACCGGCCCGGCCCAGTGCTTCGGGCCCCAAACTGGTCTATGACCCGGTTGTATGGAATAAGCGGGTCGGGCTCGAGCTGCACAAATGGGGACTCGGTCGGGCCCGGTTCGGGCCAAAACCGTTTTTTTTTTCCAGTTTTTTTGGGTTTCCCCGGGTTGGGCTTGATGTTTTGGGGGGTTTGGGGGTGGGAGGGGGGGGTAGTTAGGAAAGAAAAAAAATTACAAGCCGGCCCGAGGCCCGGCCCGAGACCCAGGCCGGTGGCAACCCGGGCCTTCCCCCATCCACAAAAGGCCCGACCCGGCCCGGCTCCATGCCTACCACACAATTCTCAATAACAAATGTTGTACAAATCAGTTCTAGGGAGAAGCAGAGGTATTTCAAGAGCTTCGAATTTACATTTCTTTTAGGATATAAATATAAATGAAAACACTTTAATTATTAACACTTCATTTTTTTAACTCTTCCAAACAAGGTAAGTTTATATTTTGTAGTTACACTTATCTTCCCTTTCGGACCCTTGCCAACACTTACTAACACATTTCATCACTCCATCCAAACAGACCGTTAGGGATTTGGCGTTTGGTGACTTCTACTTTCGGTTTATTAGTTTTATCAGTTAATTTTTCGCCAAGCATATAATTTTTTGTTTTAGACACTGCATTATGTAATAATAAAAACAAGGTCACGATTACTTTTCTAACGGGATTGAGTGAAGTTATTATAGAAGACAATTTTAACTATTTGTCCTTATAATTTTCTTTATCTTGTTAATATATATAATATATATTAAGTTAATCCTGTTGTTAGAGTCAGTTTCTGAGCTCGTTTGATAACCATGCTTTCAGCTTATCAGGCTTATCAGTCATCTTTTTAACCAAATACGTAAATTTTGATGGGAAAATGGAAACTAATAATCCAACCTTTTAGCGGTCTTCTTACAATAGTCCCACCTTTTCGTTATTCATGAATAATCCAACCTTTGCACCTCATCTTCATTCATTGGTCCCTGACCGGTTGATGACCTATTATTCCAAGTTATTTTCTTATCTTTTCAAATCATTATATCATAAATCTCACCTTTCACAAAGACAATATTTTGCAAAGATAAGAAAAAAACTTGGAATAGCAGGTCATTAACCGGTCAGGGACCAGCGAATGAAGACGTGGTTACTTTGATTTAGCGTGTTGAATTGTGTAATAATAACAAAAAGTAAGGTTGAAGTTACTTTTCTTGTTGTATTGGCTGAAGTTACTTTAGCCAATACATTTTAGCTATTTTTAACTATAATTTTATTTTATTAATAAAATATATTTTAAATACAGGGTACAATTTTTTCATAAATCAGCAGAATCGGCCAATTCAGCCACTTTAGTCAGAATTTCATAAATTTCAACCGAATCAGCCGATTGAGTCGATTTCCATATTACTAAAGATGCCCTTCACCGATTAAATAGAATATTGAGTCAATTTCAATAATATCAAAAGTTTCTAAATGAATGCATTTAGGGATGGACTTGGACGGGTCCGTCCGCCCCGGTACTGTTTGGTAATGGCCCAGTCTGCCGACCGGGACCGGTCCATTGGGCCCGAACCGGTGGTAGCACAAGGTGGGCTACGAGATTGACAAACGGGGGACCGGTCCGGGCCTGCAACGTCAATTTTTTATTTTAAAAAAATCATTTGGCAACTCCTAGCCGTTGGAAAAGTCCCAAACAGCTCTATATAGCTGTTGGGGGGTACAAAAAAATCTTATATATACTCCTATTTTCTATACATTTTTCTACACCTCTTCTCCGACTCTTCCTACTCTCTAATCATCTCCATGTTCATCTTCTCTAATTCTCTCTACATCTATTACTCCGGGCCGTCTAATGAATTTGGATGCCCCGGTTCCACCCAAATTGCAAATTGAGGCCCCTAAGACAAGAAAAGAAAAACTTTAACAATGAAATGCAAATAGACTAGACAATTCAATGAAATATAAGTTTTATGATGTTTGAAGCCCAAAAATAGAGAATTTAAAATTTATATACCTTTTGGAATCTTGAATAATACATAACATCTAAAAAATCGCCCTATAACTAAAATTACAGTCTAAATTTTTGGAGGCCCTCTACCAGATTAGGCCCCAGTGTCAAGTACCTATTGCACCTACTAAAAGACGGCCTTGCTATTACTATATATCATATCTATTTGAATTATTATACAATTATTATATCTACTTATATATTAATTATCTACTTATAAATACATATATTATATTACTTATATTTATTATCTACTTAACATATACTTATTATCTACTTAATTGAGAAATGATCATGTCCAGCAGCCCCCGGTCCGAACACTGTCCGAACATGGCCATTTGGGGAACTTCCCGGTGGAATATTTTGACGAAATTTTTTGAGCATGTTACTCATCAAATTTAGTTTGTCCATACCACATTTTAGCTCAAAATTCGTTCGGGGAAGGCATTCAAATCATTTTGTGAAGTTGACTGCGTTTTTATATGTATATTTTGACGCAGTCAACTTCAAAAAATTATTTTAATGCCTTCCCAATCGAAGTTTGAGCTGAAATTTGGTATGGAAACACTAGACATGATTAGAAACATGATAAAAAAATTTCATCAAAAAATTCCACCGGGAAGTGCCCCAAATGGCCATGTTCGGACACTGTTCGGACCGGGGGGCTGCTGGACAGGATCATTCCTCCTACTTAATATCTACTTATTATATACTTGTTATTTACTTATATTTACATATCACATATAATTAATATATTAATTATATACATCAAAGTATTAAATGTGTTGTATAAGTGTATTATTACTCATATTATAGTAATATACTTATATATTAATTATATATTATAAACATTATTATATTATATATTAGTTATACAATTATTATATCTACTTATAGAGAAATGCGTCCAGCCGGAGGGACGGGAGCCGCCGTCTGAACTCCGCCGTTTGGGATGGTTCCGTGTGGAATTGTTTTATGAAAGTTTTTGAGCATGTTTCCCATCAAGTCTAGTTTATCCACATAACATTTCAGCTCAAAATTCGATCGGGAAGTCAGTCAAATAATTTTTTGGAGTTGACTGCGTTTTCTATGTATAATTTTGCGCAGTCAACTTCAAAAAATGATTTGACTGACTTCCCGAACTAATTTTGAGCTGAATTTTTTGTGGATAAATTAGACTTGATGGAGAACATGCTCAAAAGATTTCATCAAAAAATTCCACTGGGAATTGCCCCAAACGGCGGAGTTCGGACGGCGGCTCCCGTCTCTCCGGCTGGACCTGAGCATTTCTCTCTTATATACTTATATTATATTATATCTACTCATATTTATTATCTACTTAATATCTACTTATTATATATTTGTTATTTACTTATATTTACATATATTACATCTAAGTAATATATTAAGTGTGTATTAAAGTATTAAATATAAGTGTACTACTCATCTTATAGTAGTATACTTATATATTATATACTATAAACAATATATAATATATTACTCACACTTTAATTTATATTAGTTAAATTGATCGCATGTACTCACACTCCTATTAATTAGTATACACATTCATACATTTTTCCTATTAGTTAGATTTTTCATTAATATTAATAAATTAGTTAATTAATTGTTACGTTTCTCATTTGGTCACCTTTAATATTTGCTACATTCCCATTAGATTAAAATATAAAAGCAGATCCTTTTTTAGTTAATTTTACTACACTTGTTAGATTAAAATATAAAAGTAGTTGGAACTTTAGTTAATTAAAGGGATAAGGGTCAGATAGAGCCTCGAACTTGAAAAAAAATGTCAAACAAGGCCATGTTTAGGATGCTCTGTCCGGCCGACGCCATTTGGGGTGGTTCCCGGTGGAATTTTTTGATGATTTTTTTTTAGAATCTTATTCATTAAGTCTAGTTTACTCATATCAAATTTGAACTAAAACTTTAATCGGGAAGGCATTCAAATGAATTCTTGAAGATAACTGCGCCATTAAAAGCACAATTATCTTCAAGAATTCATTTGAATGCCTTCCTGATTGAATTGTTAGTTCAAATTTAATATGAGTAAACTAGACTTAATGAATAAGATTCTCATAAAAATTCATCAAA